GATGTTCTATGTTATTGCTTAGGGTAAAGACTTCAACTTCAACTTTTAATATACGCCTGCGTTACATACACGGGAATATCAAATTTGAGTTTGGGGCATCGTTGGTAAAACTCCAACTTTACGGGAATTGTTTGTTTTCCAAATATGGGTTTTTAGCACAAGATGAACTTTAGCATTTGCTTGTGTCACGTATTCGGATATTCCAAAGATATTTGTAACGAAAATCGATTTCGCTAACCAATAATGCTAGGCAGCTGAAATTTTATGAGGCATGTGTACGATGCCAATTATCTAACATTTAGCTTTAGAACGTTTGATGAGCGCAGGTGAATGCTTATTTCGGAATACTCCCAGCATCCAATATTTGTCCTGGTAACTAGAAACGAATGAGTATTTTTCTATGGATATGTGCTGTTCATATACGGGCTACCGTGCGTAATATGAGCTTTTGTTTAGGCACAGGCTCTACGTACAGTTGCATCAAATTTTCAAGCTTCATAGTTATAGTCACACTCCAATAATACAGGCGATCTTTTTACAGAATGGAACCGTACAAAAGCGCAAAATCGTGCCAACAAGCTGGGTGCATCGCTGCTTGGGTTTTAAATGGTGTTAGTAAGCATTGGTTGTAGGTCGCATGACTCAGTAACAAAGTTGCTGCGTAGTTGCGCAACTGACGGGGATTTTGGCATGCAAAAGAAACAGGAATATCTGAAGTTTTTACATATTCCATGCTCAGTCTCTTTCTCTTGTGCGATCTGAGACCCATCCTTACTGTAAACAACTTCGAGGTGGAGGAGCAGCTCTTCAGGCTTTACCATTTTTCAGGAATCGTCGAAGAGATCGAAACACTGCGTGTCGATGAATTGCCAGCTCTAGGCAGACATTATTGGGAGGGCGATGAGATGTTGGATTTCATCCACGCTGTGCTGATGCGAGTTAAGAATGAACTTCAGAAAGTTCCAGAACTGACCGAGATTATAGTTGAGTATTGTCCGACGACCCAAACAATTACGTTTCGTAAAACCGACGTGACAAAGGATCACTTTTTCCTTCCCGATGAATTCATCAAGCGTTTCGCCGCCTAAGACTCTTGTTTAAAAAGCTGGAGAGCCGAAGGCAGGGTTTATTTCCCGCAAACACTGTTAAGCTTTAGTACTTCTTATTCGCGCATTCCTTTCTGAAATATTCCTGTCCTACGAGACTATCCGCTGTTAGGTTGATTTTGCCAGTTTTAATGACAAACGAATATTTGATAAGAATTGGGATGGATAATTGGTAGCCAGTTGCATGTCGTTGTAAGTAATTAACATTCCGAACCTCTCCGTTGTGAATTCTTTTTTTCTCAAAGTGGATATTTTGAGAAGCTTGCTTTGCGTCTTCGTGGTGCTTGCTGGCGTGATGTCCTCCGGAGCCAGCGTGCAAAATATACTCGGGGACATTTTAATTTCATCAAAGGGCTCTATTTCGAACCGTACAAAACCTCTTATTCAGCAGCTTCACGGTGAGTTTTTCAGCGATTAGATAATCTTGTGATCCGTTAGAAAAATTCACTGGTCTCGTTAGTTCATCTCCTCTCCGTACCCGTGGGTGGCATTTAATCGACAGTTTGCCTTTTTATTTCACTTTTTATTTTATCATTTGATTCGTTTATAACGTTTTGCACAGATCGATACTTTACTGCATTGTATTCTGTCATTCAACCGTAACAGATATCACACTCTCTATCACATTCTTATTTGGAATAATTTTTAAGCACATGACATATCTCGTCCAATTACTTTTTTCTCGTAGCACTTCCTCTTCTTGTTCTTGAAATAAAGCACCTTAACAAATGCACTATCCCTAAAATAAAGCACTCTCCCAGGCGAGATGCCTGTATTGTTCAACGAGAATAGCCGAAATGGGAGTTCACCACTTCGAACAGGGTGACAAAAACGAAGCTTTTTCAAAGTTTTTCGCCGGGCAAGGGAGTACGTCCTGGCTGCCATTACTCCGTAATCGTTTTGCTCGCGCATATCACAGTTGGTTAGGCTCTCCTTGATTCTCCTCTTCGTCCTCGCTGACATCGCCAATTCTCCTGAGAGTGCTCAAGTAGGGAGCTGACGCACGTGCCTAGTGTTATTTTTGCGATAGGTCATGCGTGATGAGAACTGTGTTCTCGTGACGATACGAAGGTGCAGTGGAGCGAATTAACAATGCACAAATGTGCATTACAGGTTGTGTAGACTCGACTGCCTGCAGTGAAAATTATAATGCTGTGTTTTCATGCCTCTTCGTTAGTCGGAGGATGAACGAGTACCAAGACTGTCCCCTTGACCGCTCCGAAGTCGAGGACTATACATATCTGGGCTGGTTGAGTGAATCCAGAAACTGCAACCACCCTATCACCTGACTCAAATTTAGCATGCGTGCAGAACCGAAAGCCTGTAAAATGAAATTTCAGAAGAATGTATGAAAAAAGCCAAAGAAAAATGCAAAAAATTAATACATTGAAATCAGGCACCTATGAATCACAGACGAGCTTGTCAACAGAGAACTTATGTTCGATCACTTCCAACGTGCGCAAATTTACAAGCACCACCGAAGAGGACTTGGTAAAACTTGGCACGGATAGTAGCAGTGTGCGTCTGCCATCTTCGAAATCAGCAATAGCATGCGATACTTCCGACTGATTAGCCGCAAACAGTATATGGGGGAAGGTTTCAATTATAAAGGGGTCTCGTTCCGCAAACGGGAAGCCATCGATTGTGTCGGGGACTGTCGGAGCCAGGTGCTGCCAGTCAAGAATTTTCCTTAGCAAATCCACACTGTTTGCTTCTTTTGCGAATCGTCTCAAGTCTGACAGACTTTCACCTGCAAAAACCAAACTCATCTATTTTGATAACGCGTAACAAGTTCAATCTGATTTACCAAAATGATGTGCGTAAATACAACGGGGCTAATGGTTTGACATGCCAAAATGTGACGGGCTTGAATATTAAGAGAATGGTCCACTGAAATGTTACATGAGGCTAGAACGGTGTAGCACATCACTGCAGCGCTTCAGTGCTACTTCAGTGCCGTCCTGCACTACACTTCAATGCTGCAGCGCTTCACTGCAGCACTTCACTTCACTGCTGCAGCACTTCACTCATACCTGCCGTCAGCGCATCAATACACAATCATGAACTACAACTCACCAGAGGTTCCCATTATGTGAACACCGTCCAAGCTAAAATGATAGGGATTTGTGACGAGATTCAGCATTTTTCCGTGTTGTGAACTTTTCGGAAACACGGCACGATGAATTGGCTGTTGAGGCATCAAGTGAGTTGAGGGATCTCCCAGTCCTGGCATCACATCAACTTCGAGCATACTCTGCAAAGTATGCTTCATAAAAATCCAAGCCAGAATAATCGGTTTATGGTATACATTCATTAGGAAAACACATGGATGACTAGGCATTTCTGTCAACGACTTACAGAAATCTTCGACAAAAATTTATCCATGTGAGCGGCGCACTCGACGTTCGGACATTCCTCGTTTTTTATCAGATATCGTGCCGCCGTTGTAAATTCTCTGCCCTAAAATGAAATATCTCCAGAAACAGTGTACAGCACAATAAAAAAGAACTTAGTCCAATGGAGAATTTTAATGGAAGAGACACTACAGAACTACAAATAAGAGACTAAAACGATGCACAACAGTTTATAAATAGAACTATTACTTGATCCGTGATAGCAACGCTTTCGCCAGCAACAACCAGTCGAACCAGTCTTTCCACAATGCCACGTTCCTGAAAATTTAGAAGTGTCTAGGTCCAAAATTGTCTGTTGTCTAAATGGTCACATATACATTGCATATAGGATCTTTTCGTACCTTTGGTGATACTGATAACGAACCGCAGAGCCACTTCTGTAGCAAATCAAGGGCGACTAGTTTCTGAGCATCTTTCTCGGTTTGGCCGGTGAATGAGAAGCCCGAGACGAACATGACATACCTTAAGACAAAAGTGAACGGCGAGAAAGTCTAGCTGAACAATGTTAAAAAAGAGTAACGCATTCACGGATACCTGTCATCATCGAATGCTGGATAAGGTGGTTGTGGTGCTT